AAGAGGTTCACCCCAGGCCATTGGCTCCTGTGAGCCCTGTAATGCATCCTGGCTTTGGGGAGCACAGAGGCATTAGCCCTGCTGATCAGTTAGGAGCCCACGCCGGGGTGAGCCCTCTCCTCCCAGGGCGGATGGATCATTTCTTTCTGGGGCTGGGGGCTGCCCTCTGATTATGACAACCGCGTAGCCTGTTTGGTTTTCTTTCTTCTCCTTTTTTTTTTTCCTCTCTTGGTTTAACTCCCACATTCATTTTGTGCATGAATGAGTACAATGAAACCAGTTTAATTTGCTGTTAATTCCCTGTTCAAAATATTCTCCTCTGTTTAAGAGACACGGTGCCTTTCATCTTGCCAAGGCAAGCAGTGTGCAAGAAATCCACTGCTCGTGGTTGAAGGGGGTTGCTGTGGATGTGTGTGTTGGGGAGGGGTTCAGCCCAGGCCTGAAGGCCGGGGACTATGGGAAACGGGGTTCTGGGGTCAGGTGAGCCCCGCCCCTGTGGGGAGGGAAGGGGAGGGTGGGCGTTTTCCAAGCCCCATTGGGAACAGGGTCTTACGGTGGTTGGGCTTTGGCTGTTGCTGACTTGGTGGGGTGCGGGGGGGGTGATTGGACTCCCTGCATTGGGGGTGTGGGGGGGAAGTTTAGGCTTGGGCAAAGCACCTTCTCCTCAAGGCCGGAAGTTGGCCCCTTGTGTGGATGGGGGTGTGAACCCCGCAGCTGAACAGACTCGGTCAGGGCAGACATCTGGCTGTCACACACACAAAAAAACAACACAACAACTTTAAACGTCACCCCGATAGAGTGTTTATACAACGGACCCGAGCTTCCTCAAGGGCAAGAAGTCTGTTCTTCACCTCCGATCCGCCCCTACCACACAATGCCTGGTCTGCTAAGGACAAGGACAGGAGGAGAATACCCAACCTAGCTTCGTCACCACTGGGCTGGGAAGGGACCCAGGAGCCAGTCCTGGGCCATTGTCAGATGCCCTCCAGGTTGTTTAGAGGTTGAAGATGGAAAGCTACAGCCACACTCTTCCCCTTGGGAAGCCCACCCAGACACCCGCTGCCTCCGCTGCTCGCCTTTCTGGAGGTTCCCAGACCTTCCCGTCTACCCAAGCGCCTTTTCCCCAGCAGGTACTCTCAGAACCGACGGATGCCCCGTGGTGGAAGAGGCCTCTCTCTGAGCTCCCCCCCCCCCCGGGGCCCCGGGGCCCTTCTGTGTGACCCCGTGGTGACGCGCCTCTGTGAATGTGCCAGCTAGACGGACTGACACCCGTGCCGATTGTAGGCATTCCTCGGCAGACTCACGATCTGGCAAATGGGGCTTCTGTGCGTTGCGTTTCCCCCGCTTGCTTTTCCCTCATATCCCTCAGAATGGCCTCGAATTCCCTTCTGAAACTGGCCCGAGAGGACAGCATGGTAGCCCGGGATCGAGTCGTACTCCGCTTACGTGGCTGGTGAATATGAGTTTCAGTTCATTCTGATTGTGTTCACTCCGTGTATCCAGTGTCCCGGGTGGCGTCTTCCCGGTGCTCTGAAGGTCACACTGTTTTCCGTGCAAGTTTATAAGCAGGCTGCCCCGCTGTGAAGGGTATGTTGTGAAGGGTATGTTATTATTGTGCTTTATGATGGCAAATTAATTGATCAGAAATTAGAAAGGGGGAATCCAAATATCATCGAATGGGTTTCTTTGAGCACATTTTTTGGTCGGTTGTGGGGCTTGAACTCTGGGCCTGGGCGCCGTCCCTCAGCTCTTCAGCTCAAGGCAAGCGCTCTACCATTTGAGCTACAGCACCACTTCCGGTTTTCTTAGTGGTTCATTGGAGAGAAGAGTCTCACCGACTTTCCTGCCCAAACTGCCTTTGAACCTCAGATCCGCAGATCTCAGCCTCCTGAATAGATAGGATTACAGGCATGAGCCACCAGCAGCGTCGGGGGGATAGACATTTTACGAGAAAGAGTAGCGCCTGTTGGTGTTGTTCAGTGTCAGATTTCATCCAAGTTATGGGGTCTGTCATTCGGTAGACGCTGCCGATGGGTTGTGGGGGAATGTGAGGGTTCTGCACTTGTCCATGCCTTGGGTGGTCTACTCCGTGCATTCCACCACGCAGCCCTCCCCAAGCCTCCACCCTGTACGTACCCTTCAATCCAAGGTCTCCGAGACTCTGTAGGGTTGAGCTAGCGGCCCAAGGAAGGTCTTCTCCCCTCCCTGGCTTCATCGAGGCTTCAAATTCGGATCCACTCTGTGTTTCCCCCACAGAGGCCTAACAGGCTGGGCCTGGCCCGGGCACCGTGTCTGAGGCTCTTAGAAAGCCCACGGTCCAGCGAGCTGCACGTCTGCAAACCCCGGTCCTTCCTGACTCCCACAGTGGGGCCTTGCGTGCGTCCGCTCGGGGGCTCCGCGTCGCGGCGTGGGAGTCTCAGCGCTGGCAGCCGACGCCGAGGACGGGCCTCTCGCCAAGCCTATCGCTTTCCGTCCGCCACCTTGGGCCTGGCGCCCAGGGCTGCGGCCTTGCCTGCCGCCCGGAGCCGCCACACATCCCAGTGGGCTCCCTCGCACTCGGGCACGCGGCAGCCTGTTAGGGAAGGGCATTCGCTCCCTGCGCCTGGCACACCGCACCGCCTCAGAGGGCCACGGAGCCGGCGTGAGTTCCCAAGTGAACCCACTGGGCCCCATTGTCTGGCCCGACTCTCTTCCACAGACCACCCTCCCCCCCCCGCACCCCCCCTCCCGCCACTCCCCTCCAGCCGTGGTGAGGGCGGGGGCCGGGCTGGGAAAGGCCGGATGTATTCCTGGCCAGGGCTGAAAACGCCATTCATCCCAGAAGCGCCCTATTATAAGCAGCAACAAATAGCACAGAGGGAGTGGGAAACGGGGAAGAGGCAGAGGGAGGAGGAGAGAGGAGGCACAAGGGACTGGGGATGGAGGGAAGGAAGGAAGGAAGGAAGGGAAGAAGGGAGGGAGGGAGGGAAAGAAGGAGGGAAGGAAAGAAGGAAGGAAGGAAGGAAGGAAGGAGGGAAGGAAGGAAGGGAGGAAGGAAACAGGAAGGGAAGGAGGGAAAGAAGGAAGGAAGGAAGGAATGAGAGGGAAGGAAGGAAGGGAAGAAGGGAGGGAGGGAAAGGAGGGAAGGAAAGAAGGAAGGAAGGAGGGAAGGAAGGAAGGAAGGGAGGAAGGAAACAGGAAGGGAAGGAGGGAAAGAAGGAAGGAAGGGGAAGGAAGGAAGGGAGGGAGGGAAGAAGGAAGAAAAAGAAGGAGGGAGGGAGGGAAGGAAAGAAGGGAAGAAGGGAGAGGGAGGGAAGGAGGGAGAAAGAAAGGAAAGGGAGAAGGAGGAAGGAGGGAGAGAAGGAAGGAAGGAACCACAGCGTGGGAGGGGAGTAGCTTGTGGAGACTGTCAGCCTCTGAAGATGGATTCTGAGAGGCCGGGCTCCTCCTGGAGCTACAGTGGGGGGGGCTCGGTGGAAATCGGAGGAGACTGACAGGGAGATAAAGAGAGCCGTGCCCGTGCCGTGGGGCTCTCCGGGGCTGTCACTCTGGTCCTGAGACCCATCAACAGAAATAGGATGTGCCCACCAGGGAGGTGACAGCCCCTTTCTCTCCAGCTGCTCCCACGATGAAGAGCATGGGGTGTTGAGCTCAATGGGGGGCGGGCGTGGGGGCTGGCCAGTCAGAAGACAATGCAAACAAGGACAGGCTGACAGAACTGGGAGTCTGGTGACTGCGAGGAAGAAAACAGGAAGTGCTGACCCCTTCGAATCTATGGGGCTGGCCGGGAGGAGAGGGAGCAGTTCTGAGTGGATTCTTGCAGGGTATAAGAGGGCCAGAGAGCGGGCCCAGAGCCCAAGTCTTCCGCTCCGTGTGAGTAGTCAGAAAGAATGAATGGACCAGAGTCTCTCATCCAAGATGGAGATCCTGAAGCCATTGAACTGGACCTTTCTATAGGTTAGAAGACAAGGAGGAGGGGGCGGGGATCCTTCATCTTGAATCTTGCCCTTTTGGCTTTATAGTTTGTTTTTTCTTAAAGGGGAGGGGTCTAGGCAGGTGGCTCAGTGGTAGAGTGCTTGCCTAGCATGCATGAAGCCCTGGGTTCGATTCCTCAGCACCACAGACACAGAAAAAGTCAGAAGTGGTGCTGTGGCTCCAGTGGTAGAGTAGCTAGCCTTGAGCATGAAGAAGCTCAGGGACAGCGCCCAGGCTCCCTGAATTCAAGCCCCAGGACTGGCAAACAATAATAAATAAAAATTGCTTAGATTGTAGCCAGGCGCCTGTGGCTCATGTCTGTCATCCTAGCTACTCAGGAGGCTGAGATCGGAGGATCGCGGTTCAAACCCACCCCCCCCGCTCCGGGCCTACGGACGTTCCTCGGGGACCCCTGGTCTTCCCCGGTACCACTGCCCCTGCATACAGGTCTCCAGGACACAGTCCGGAGGCCGCGCCATCCGAGAGTTACAGAACCACAGATCAATCAGGCCCCGAGGATCCCAGGAGGGCCCGGCAGGGAGAGGCAGGCAGCAACAGCGTGTTCCTTCCCTTGATTTACGAGCCCAGGCCGCCATCCATTGCCGGCCTTCATTAGGGCCGCAGAGAGTCATTTTGCATGGGCGTGCGGCCCTTTCCTCCCCGCTCCTCTCCGGGGTGATTGATGCCCACACCCCGCGGCGGCCAGATCCCGCGTGCACCGAGAGCCCGGCCTTCATCACGCCCCACCCACCAGGAGCAGGAGGTGGGAGGAAGGGGGGGGGTCGCTGATCGTGCATGGTTCTTCGACCCGTGTGCCATGAACTCATGGAGTCTGTCAGCAAGGGCTGGCACCCACGGATTTAAATCTGCCTTCGAACTCCTGGTGCCAGAAGACTAGAAAATGCCCGGCTCCTAAACTGTAATAGATGGTCGACTCTTCCCCCCCCCGCCCCCCCCCCCCCCGCAACCTCTGCCACAGAAAACTGCTGATAGGCAAAGCCCAGAGACAGCAGCAGGCTTGGCTACCAGCCTGCATCAGCAGCGCGATGGGCATGGAGCTAAAGATGCCCCTGCACCAGGTATCCCTCCAGTTCTCTTTCCCCTTCCTGCCCTGGCTGGTCTCCCCTCCCCTCCCCTCCCCTCCCCTCCTCTTCCCCCTCTCCTCACTCTTCAGGCCTGACTGGAAAACCTACTTATCAGCAGTAGGAGAGGGCAGGGTGCCGAACAGGGCAACGCCTGGAGGGCTATGGTGGCAATGTAGCCTTGTTCTTTCAAAACAGAGCCAGGGATAGCACCCCTTTATCATCCTCACCTTGATATGGCATGGGGGGGAGAGACAGACAGACAGACAGACAGGCATGTAAATACCAAAGGAAGGCCAGTACTGTTTCCGGGCCTTCGTGTCAGATGGTACCTCACCTTCAGGAGGCTCACGCAGAAAAGGTTCTTGCCAAAGCCGTGACCCCAGATCCTGATCCTGACCCCGCCAAGGTGTGACGCGGGAGGCAGAGGCTACGCCAGGTGGTTGGAAAGGGGATGTGGCGGCGCCCGGAGGAGATGCTAAGAGTTGACTGGAGGGCCGAGCGTGGGTTTCTCAGTCAACTGAGCCTCTGGGGTTTGGTGTGAGAGTCGGGGATGGGTGAATCCACCCATCAGGGTTAGAGGTTCGGTTCCCAGCCCCCTTTCTGGCCCTCTCGGAGGGTACAGGTAAGGAACCAGAAGCTGGGAGAGACTCTCAGGGCTGGGACAGGGGATGGGACAATGGAAACCCTACAAGGTCCGGCCTATTTGCTTTTTGTTTGGTTGGTCGTGGGGCTTGAACTCTGGGCCTGGGCACTGTCCTTCAGCTCAAGGTGAGCGCTCTACCACTTGAGCCACAGTGCCACTGCGGGTTTTCTGAATGGTTTATTAGAGATCAAAGTCTCAGGGACGTTCCTGTCTGGGCTGACTTTGAACCTCGATCCTCAGATCTCAGCCTCCCGAGTAGCTAGAATGGCAGGCGTGAGCCAGCGGTGCCCAGCATGAGGTCCAGCTCTTTGCTGTCCAACAAGCCTCCCTCTCCCCCCCCCCGTCAGAAGGCGAATAGCATTTCGCCATCTCTCCTCAGACGCATTGCAAGGTGGACATTGATTGTCCTCATTGAATGGGTGGCCGCACAGGAGCTTCAGGGGTCTGACTAACTTGCTCAAGATTCTACCTCGAGGCCGTGGGAGAGCTAAGACTGCCCCCGCCCCCGCAGGTGTGTCAATGACCCCCAACCCACACAGCCGGGACCTGCCCACCCCTGCGAGTGGCTGCCTTCCATGTGGAGTGTTTGGGGGACCCATCGGGGTTTAGGGGATGGAGATGTGGGTGTTGCTCAGCCTGGGCTTATTGTGTTGAGGTTCCGACTGTCATCGGTGGTAGGCGGAGATGGATTCCACGATCAAGGGAGGAGAGAGGGGAGATTAAAGCAAGGGTCATCCCCAGGTGCCTTGTTGGAATGGGTTCCTCCATAGGGAAGCTCCCCCTCCACCCCCAGATTCCTTTGTAGCTCTACACCTGAATGCCCAGCACTGGAAATGAGTATTTATTGGAGGCAAACCAACAGCCTTACTCTGGAGTATCCTGTTATGAGTTGAATTGTATCAAAGGGGGGTGAGGGGGTGGCTCACATTTGGAATCCTAGCTACTCAGGAGACTGAAATCCGAGAATCAAGGTTCAAAGCCAGCCCAGACTGGAAAGGCCTGTAAGTCTCTTATCTCCAGTTAACCAGCAAAAAAGCTAAAAGTAGTGGGGGCTGTGGCCCAAGTGGTAGAGCGCTAGCCTAGGCCCTGAGTTCAAGCCTTTATGCTGGTACATGCGTGTGCATGCACACATGCACTAGAGAGAGAGAGAGAGAGAGAGAGAGAGAGAGAGACAGACAGACACAAAGACAGAGAGATGTTAGAGTCAGAAGCCCCCTTGTACCTTGCAGTGTGACCCTGTTCTGAAAGTCACTGCAGACATCCGTTAAGATGAATTCACATGATAACAGAGTAGCTCCACACCCAGTATAGGACTGGTATCTACACAAAATGGCCACAACACTGGGGGAACGGAGACACAGCGGGTGAAGACCACGTCGGCTCACGTTGTCCAGCAGGCTGGAGTCCAGTCGCTGCACGTGACGAAACTCCACCGATGCCAGCGCAGCCCACCGCAAGGTCAGAACGACGCAAAAGCAATCTCTCCCCCACAGCGGGGCCCTCTTGACATCTCAGATTGGGAGGTCCAGCCTCCAGAACCGCCAGGAGATCCGTTTCGGTTGTTCTCCAAGTCGGCCCGGTTGCGGTGCTTTTGTCGAAGCCATTCTAGAAAACACACGCACACCTCCCCCAAGTCAGCCGTGCGTTCGGTTGGTGCCAAGTCTCAACACAGAGAACACTATAGACGTACGCACTGTGAAGTCACCGTGGGACCAGGCCGGACTGGGACACGGGGTCCCCCACATTCCGTTGAGGTTTCGCGCCCTGCCACCCTGAGAATTAGGAACCCCTGAACCAGAGAGAAGAGGGGACGGATGTCCACAAGCCCCAGGCCCAGACATTCCGAAACTTACTGCTAGCTTTCCTGCCAGCAGGCCCGGGTCTCCTTTCTTGGAAGGAGCCCCTTGGAGTTGGGAGGCCCACCACCACGTTCACTTCGCTGCTCGTTCCTGAGCGTTGTGTCACGCGTGAACCCAGACCAGATCTGGAGCCTGCCCCAACCGCCCAAGGCGGGTTTCCTGCGCCGTGACCCGTCTACGTGGTTGGCTTTCTTGACGCCCTCCATAATTAACTGCACCTCGGAAAAAAAGAAGCAGAAGGAGAAGGGCGGGGTTGAGGGAGGACTCTGCCGATCTGCATGTCCTTTAAAAGAGCAAATTTCACAGTTGCTGCTGATAATCTGAATGCCTGTTCAGACTCATTCGTCAGTCAGTCAGCTCAGCAGATGGGTTGGGTTGGCTCATTCCTGTTCACTCAGGATGATTTCTCTTCCTCGCCGGCCATCTCCCACCCATCCATCACCGGAGACGTACATAATGATAGCTTCCATTCGCCTTGCATGTTACACTTGGCAAGGAGAGTAAATAAGTGCTAGGCAAATGAGTGTCCTTAAGAAAACAGTCTTGCTGGGGCCACGGCCCCGTTCATTGGCTGAGGAGTCTGACACTCTGCTGTGTTGGCTGGGTGTGCACATCGCTTGCGGCGTTGGGACTTGAACCCGGGTCCCTGTGGGTCGGAAGTCACAGCTCTCTTATCTCTCAAGGTTGCTTAGCTTCTACTGAGAACGGAGAATCCCCAAACCAGCCTCAGTCTTACCTGGATGGTTGTTTCAGTTCTCTGAGGACTAAACATGCCCGCCTATTCTTGCTCCGTCTCCGGAAGTCCGTACGGTGTCTGCTCCCCAGGGGTGCTATTCCAGGACACCCTTGTTCAATGCATACCTGGACTCCCCCTGTCCCCTTCCTTTTTTGTCAGCCATGGGGTCTTGAACTCAGGGCCTGGGTGCTGTCCCTCAGCTCTTTAGCTCAAGGTGAGTGCTCTACCACTGGAGCCACAGCACCACTTCCTGTTTTCTGGTGGTTCATGGGAGAGAAGAGTCTCACGGACGTTCCTGCCCGGACTGGCTTTGAACCATGACCCTCAGAGCTCAGCCTCCTGAATAGCTAGGATGACAGGTGTGAGCCACCAGCGCCTGGCTTTGGACTCCCCTCCCCCTCTTTTTTTTTTAACCACAAATATACAGCCTTCGCCCCCCAAACCCCTCCCAGAGGAGGGAAGTCAGGGCTGCTTGTGGAGTTTTCTGCAGGCGCTTCTTGTACTTAGGGACAGGAGTCTGGTTCTCGACCTACCATGTGGTGTGGTTCCTGGGCCTGTCATCCCAGCTACCCAGGAGGCTGAGATCTGAGGATCGCGGTTCAAAGCCAGCCCCGGACAGGAAAGACCGCGAGACTCTGATCTCCAGTGAACCACTCAGAAAACCGGAAGTGGTGCCGTGGCTCAAGGGGTAGAGGGCTTACGTTGAGCTCAAGAGCTCAGGGACAGCGCCCAGGCCCTGAGTTCAAGCCCCATGACCCACAGCAGCTGCCTCTTCTTTCTTAAAGGAAGCACAGCCCCGGTCAACCCCAGTTGGATTTTCCCAGGGTGCTAGCTCCTCTGTGTGGCGGGGCGCCATGATGCTTCCCATACTGAGCGTTTCTTCTCCAGAATAACGCCTCCCCCCGCCCCTCAGGAAAGTGACCTCTCATACACCCCCATTCTTCTTGAGTCGGCTCTTGCGAGCAGACCTCCCTGCGCCCCCTCGTCTTGCTCGCTAGCCTTCTGATCCTCCCGTCTCTTTGGGAGGAGCTCTCCTTCATTCCCTCCAACCTATCTTTGGCTCCCTCCCCTCCCCTTGTTGCTTTGAGTGACTCCCCCTCTATTCCTCTATTCCGTGCTTCCAGTATTCTGCCCTTCCCTCCCTCCCTCTGTCTACCTCCATCTACGGGACCATTCATCTCCACGTTGAAATGGTGAAACAGGTCCACTGAACCCTTGTACCGAAGCATTGCTCTCGTTCCCTCCAATGGAATAGGATGCCAGCTGTGACCTTTGCTTCTTATCGCCCCCCCCTCCCCACCATGGAGCCATCCATTCCCCCCCCCCCAGGGCTGACACTTATTCTTATCCATTGCTTTATCATTCCCTTGGCCTTTTGGGCCACTGCACAGGAGGTAGATTAGATATCTGATACCATTCGCTTGGTAGACATGCCTGAATGGGTATCACACAGATACCACTGGCGTCAGGTGGTTTCCGTGGATCTGGAGCTCGGAGTCACGACCTGATTGTCATAGCCCTGCCCCAGGCTCTGTGGTCGCTTTACCCTGCTCTGGCGTCCTCCTCCCCACAGTCCTGCCGTGCTGTGTAACTGCAGCCTGCAGATAAGGGAGAAAGGAGGGAGGGAGGGAGGGTGTGAGAGATTGATTGATTGATGATTGATGGGAGGGAGGCTTAGGGCATAAGCAAGTTCAGCATACCCAGCACACCCCAGCATGCTCTCTGTCCACATCGCCGGTGTGGACCATATGTTCCCTCCTCTTCTCCCCCCCCGCCCCCCAGTGAGAGAATGCACCTAGAGGTTAGAGCCTGGGCTGTGGGCATGGGTGCCAGAATGGCATCCTCCTCCCCTTCCCTCTCCCTCCCCGCCATGACATCTTCAGCTTTGACAGCAACACAGCAACCATCCTGACGTCACTGTTGCCAGAGCAGAAGCTCACAGTAAACATTTAACCGGGCTCCACCAGAACTTTCTGCCAGAATTCTGATTATGCCTTTGTACATGCACATGAGGACCCTGTTCCTCTGGCGGGGTCGAGGAGAGGGGTAGGGGGGGGAAGACGGGAACTTCCAGAAAGCATTTCTCTCCAAGTCCCCACCCCCCCACCCCGTCCGGAGAGCTCTCCGCAGTCCCCCAAGAAACTTCCCTCCATCCTCTCTCTCTCTCTGCCGTGGACCGGTTTACGGCCCCTGTGTGGTCTCCTCCGTGGGCAGAATGTAAAGAGCCCATCTGGTGGACTCCACAGGAGACCGCGCTCCAAAACAGATTCAATTACAGCTCCAGAGAGGTGACAGTGGCTATCACAAATCTCGGATTTGTAGAATTAAACAGAACAAAGGAGTCTGTCCTCGGAAGGCCTGGAAATGAAGGTCGCATTTTTTTTTTCTCTTAAAGAAAATATATTCCAGACGCTCGATCCCTCCCCGACTCGGTACTCCTTCAGTGAGGTCCTGGGGTTGGTGGGGGGACACTCTTTGTTCTGGGGGGGGGCTCTCTCATGGCTTTTCTTGGTTCTATGAGCCAAAGATGGCCCCTACGCCAGAGTTCTCAGTAGAATCTTCTGGAAGCCCAGGTCTGCCCGGTGGGCTTGTGGTCAGCAAGGGCTGTCGGTGTGTGACTTGACACGCAAACCGCCGCCGCCGCCACCGCTCCTCCCTTTCCCGTCCCCTGTTCGGCCCGTGTGGGTTTGCATTTACTTCTGCCTCGGTCCCACCTGGCAGAGACATTTGAATAATCTCAGAGATGAGTTTCTGCCAGGGGTTCCCCGCCCCCGCCGGCCCCGACCCCGTGAAGTGTCTTCGGAGGAGTGTATTATGCAAATTCAGCGTGTCGTGATGATCGTGATTAGTTCTGCGAAGTGGAGATGAGGAGGGAGGCAGGGAGAGGCAGGGCCGCTCCTTGTAGGGAGTCTTCCCCAGCTGTCGGAAAGTTAGGGGGGGTCCGGGGAGTGTGGAGGGGGCGGGGTCAACTCAGCAGATCTCATGCCCATCATATCGCCTGTGGTAGGGTACGGCGCGCAACCCAGCTCAACCTCAAACTGGGCAAGACACCAGCTTGCTTGCTTTTTTTAAAAAAAAATCTAATTTCATTTTCTGTTTGTACCAGTCCTGGGACTTGAACTCAGGGACCTGGGCGCTGCCCCTGAACTTCTTCTTTTGCTCAAGGCTTGGCGTTCTACCACTTGAGCCACAGCAGCCACTTCTGACTTTTTTTTTTTGGCGGTTCCTTGGAGATAAAACAGTCTCGTAGACTCTCCCACCCGGGGTTGGCTTCGAATCTCCATCCTCAGATCTCAGCCTCCTGACAAGCTAGGATGACAGGCGTGAGCCACCCCGGTGCCCAGTAGACAGCTCTCTGTTCTCTATGTCTGGGTGCTTTTCAATGTGCACCTCCAGCCCACCAGGGGCAGTAATGATAGCTGGGTTACAGGCTAGCGAGGAAGACACTGTTTGCATGGAGGCCCACGGAGGTACCCCAGTCTCTTTCTGCCCCGGGGCAGGTTGGTCCTGGATCCCCTGGGGCTCAGCCCTGCTCAGACCCTGAGCCTCTCTGGGCTCCACCAGTGTCCCGAAAAGCTGGCGTGGCCACTCGCTTCTCAGACCCTGGAACGTCCCTAGGGCCTGTGTCCGGGTCTGGCTCTGGTTGCTTCTATGGGGCAGGCAGCTCTCTGGGACAGTGCCCTGGCCGGCGAGAACACCGGAAACCTCCTTCCCCAACATAGTTCCCTGTTGTCAGACGTGAACAACAGCCTTTTTGGCGTTAGTTATCCAGAGAAGGTCTCACGTGGTGGTTGTGGTTGTTTGGCTTGGGGAAGGCCTTGGATGGTGATCCTCCCTATAGCCAACTGTCCCCAGGCCTGGCGCCACACACTGGGGGAGGGGGGCGGGGGCAAGGGTGGGGGCGGGAGGGGGGGGGCTTGTGATTGAGATGAGGACTCATTTCTTTGCCCAGGCTAGCCTTGAACCATGATTCTCTGATTTCCCTCACCTGAGTCGCTGGGCTTACAGGCGTGAACCATCACCACACCTGATCTGTCAGGGGCCCTGGAGTCCCCTGCGGAGTCTTTGCGGGCAGGTGATGGACCACGTGTCTGGGTTTGGCCAGTGCAGAGGGACTTGTGGGAAGGCGGAGATGGGGGGGGGCGGGGAGTGGCTAAGATCAGGGGAGTTGACTTCCAGAAAGGGAGAAGCGGACAGACGAGGAGAAAACGCTCCGCACCCCGATGATTTCAGGAAATAAGGGCTCCGGGCCAGGGGACCCTCGCAACTCACTCCAGTTGCTTGCTTTATTTGCAGAAACGTTAATGGACACCAGGACAGCCACTGCGGAGCTGGGCTGGACGGCCAATCCTGCTTCAGGGGTGAGTGTCAGACCAGCACCCCCGCATTCTGCGGTGTGTGGGGAGGCCTGGACTCCACAGAGCAGCTACGGCAGAGCCTTTCCTGGACCCCTGTGCGCGTGGCGGGGGGCCAGGGGCAGGGTTGTCTCCTGCCTGAGCTCTGCAGCCTACTCGGGTGATACTGAATCTCTCTTCACACAACCCCTCCAGAGGCACAGCTCTGGCTCCACACGGCTGTGTGGGGACAGGGAAGCAGACTGGGGGGGGGGGGAGACAGATCAGAGGCCACAGAGACGCCAGGCCAGGAGGGAGGGAGCGAGGGAGCTCAGGAGAGCCCAGGCTTTTGCTAGAGCTTGCCTTAGACGTTTGGTATCGGGGCTGGGCCTTGAATTTAGTGCCTCAAGCTCCCACTTAGCTTGCTGGCTCCCACCTGGCACTCTACCCCTCAAAGCCACGCCTCCAGCCCCTCTGGCTGGTTGCTGGGTTATTTGGAGATGGAGTCCCGCACGGGCGGCCTTCCGTCCCGGCGGGCCTCGAACTGCGTCATCCTGCAGATCTTAAAAGTCTCCTGAGTGGTTAGGCCGACCCAGCTAGAGAAGCCATTCTGATTCCCGTCTGTGGATCAGCTGTGTGCGCGCGTGTGTGTGTGTGTGTGTGTGTGTGTGTGCACACTTGGTGACATGGGAGAGTGGAACGGACAGGCGTGGCACAGAGGTTGACCAGAAGGCACAGGTACACGGGTGGCTGCTTTTTTTTTTGTAAGTAGGAGTCTGATAGGTGGCCCGTGGAGAGGGTGGGAAGGAAGCAAGGCCCCCCTGGGTCTGGCAGGAGAAGCAGCCCGATTTCTGGGGTCTGTGTGTCCGGCCCGGTGAAGGGCCGCGGCTGCCATGCTGACGGAGACGGGGGGGGGCAGGGTACCCCCCCCGATGTTATCCCACAGGAAACGGAGGGACGAAAGGTGAGGGATACAAAGGGGAGCACCCGCCAGCTAGATTGTGCAGCGCGCGGGGGACAGAGGCGTGGAAAGGGACCCCTGGCAGCTGCCTGTGGAATGGTCTGAGGCGCTCAGATGACACGTGGGGGACCCCCCCCACAATACCCAGAGCAGACCAGGGGAAGCCGAGGAGGAGGTGGAGACGGACGATAAACCCTGTCCCTGGCTCGGACAATCTTCTGGCTAGCTTTGGGGTTGAAGGATGGAAGAGGCAGAGGAGCTAAGGTGTGTGTGTGTCGGGGGGTGCGAAGGGGGGGGCGCTGCTTCCTTTCCCGTGGGGTTGTGAAGCTGGTCTGGGGACAAGGTGGTCCTGGGCTGCTTCCTCGTCTTTGCCAGACCGCCCAGCTCTCTCGGTCCCTGTGTTTTGTTGGGGAGTGGGGTGGGGGTGGGGGGGACGGGGAAGTCTCCAGCCAGCAGCACAGCAGGTCCAGAGTAGACGATAATCACGCACGTGCCCCAGGTCCCGCCCGACGGATGGTTCTTATCTGATCACAAGCCAAGTGGCCTCACCTGAGTCTCCACTCCCACACACGCGCGCTTCTACGCAGCCACTGCGGCCCTGACCGAAAGCACCTGCCCCCATCCCACCCTCCCCGCCATGCACCTTGTGTCTAGAGATAGAGGGGGGCGGGAGAGCAAGATCTGGATTGAGCTGGTGTTTGCCCAAACAGGGAGTGAGAACAGGGCAGAGTGGAGCCAGAAGCCCAGGTTCCTCTTCTCCTCAGTGGGGTGACTGTGGTGGACCAGATTGAGTCTGGTCTACGAAGGTGTCCTTGCTCTATGTACTTAGGAGCGGCTCGTGCGTCCCCAACCCTAGTCTGCAGGGCTGCGTTCCTTTCTCAGACTCCACCGTGCTCACAGACAGAGAAACCCGAGTTACTTTAGTTAGGGAAGATCCGGGAGACGTTTAGCTGTGGGCCAGATGATGATGATGATGATGTTCTTGTCGTCACGTATTGGGATTTCAAGGCCTGCTGAGGACAGGAGGGCAGAGGGGGCAGGGCGGGTGGCTCCTTTTCTTACTCTAGTGCCACATTGTGTGGCGGCTCAGGGTGGCGTTGGACCCGGTGGCTGATTGCCGGAAGCCGTTCCTCATCTTGCTTTTTAAAAGAAATTTTGGTGGCCAGTGATAGAAAACTGCAACTTGATCTTGAAGGAAATAACCTTGGCTCATGGAACTGGAGGGTCCCAGTGCACAGCTCTGGGGTTAATCTCGGTCTCTGTCTCCTCTGTCTCTCCCCCCACCCCCCATTGCTGGTTCCACGCAGAGACTCTCCTCTTGGCCCAAGAGGACCTCGGATTGGGTCCGAGGGACTTGGTCTGAATCCCCTGTCATCCCGAGCCAATCCCGAAAGTAGAGAGCGAGTATTGGCTCCCGCGGAGTCTATGGCTTGAGCACAGCCAATGAGAGCCTGGGAAATGGAAGAGTAGGCGGGACTGATGCCTCAGAGGGAATCCTTTCCTGGAGCTCTGTTCCTAGGAATTATTAGGACAGCTTTCTCAGCCAGCCTCCTGCTGACCTCTGACCCCTCCAACCCCCCCCCATTCCCTCCCTCCACCCTCCTCCTCCCCTTCGGTCTCCAGGTAAACCACTGAGAGTCAGAACTCCACACCCTAGGCCTTGCCACCCAGTCTCTCTCTCCCTCTCCCCTCTCCCCTCTCTCTCTCTCTCTCTCTCTCCCTCTCTCTCTCCCTCTCTCTCTCCCTCTCTCTCTCCCTCTCTCTCTCTCTCTCCACCAAAAGGCCTGTAATTAGGAAACATTAGCAGGCTCAAAACAGCTTTCCTACCTGAAACATCCTCCCTAATTGCACTCAGCAGAGCTCTTCCCTGGCTATTAATGTCACTTTTATGAAGCAATGAGGAGCAAAACACCCCGAGGCACTTAAAACATTTTATATATATATATATAAAATCTACGTCTTTCAGGAATAGAAGTTTAAAATCACCTGCCTGACAGACAGTGATAGACAAAGGTGGGAGGGGGAGGGAGGCAGGCTGGAGGAGGAGGAGGAGGCCGAGGCCCGGGCCTCCTTTCGGGAGGAAGATTCAGATCCTTGATAGGCAGAGGACATAGTAGGTGGGGTACTGGGTGGGGAGGGGAGGGGGGGGAGGAGTTGGGGCCAAGTGGGTAGGAAGGCCAGGGCCCTGTCTACTCTGTGGTGGTTCTCAGGGCTTTAGATGAGAGTTTTTTTGGGGGGAGGCGGGGTCTGTGTATGTGTTGAATAGAGTGATCGAGAGAATGAGACACAGGCTCATTGTAGAGCATGAATTGTTACATGCTTTGGATGTGTGCGTGCGTGTGCGAGTATGAGTATGGGAGAGGGCTAGTCCCTCAGCTTGCACATTTCAGGAACTCTGGGAGTCGGGGTGGTTCCCAAGAACCTCCCTGCCAGGTTTATTTTCCTATTTATTTATTAAGACATGTTTATCTTCTTGCTCTGGAGAGCAGCTTTACGGGTTGATTCTCAGCAGAAACCTTGCAGACATTTCTGTCCGCAAACTCCCGAGGTCCTCTCCGAGTCTGGGCTTTTTGTTTTGGTTTGCTGTTAAAGCCCTTTTTACCCCACGGATACTATTGGCGTTAATACAGAGGAGGTGGGGAGGATTTGGTTGTGGGGTTACCTTTTTTTGGGGGGGCAGACCCCGTGGTTGAGCCGGTGGTAGTGGTAGAGTTGACTTCCTCAAGAGGCTTACGTAGGAGCGGACGCATAGAAGGGTGGACCCGCGTTGCGGGTCGAATGGGATGGGACCAGAAGCCCGTTTCCCCCACTGTGGTCGCCCAAGCTCCAGGCCGGTCTGGTTCCCAAGCGGAAGGGAAACGCCACCGCTTCCATCCTGGGAGTACTCCGCAGCAGCCTTCCAACAGTGGAAGCTGGGGTCTGAGCCTCAGCAAGGATGAGGCAGCTGGGGCCCCCGAGGCCCCCCGCGGCTCCCACCCCTGCCCTGTCAGGCAAGGCCTTGTTGGGCCGCAGTGAGAGCCACATTCAACCGACAGCTTAAGATAATCACATGTGTGAAGCACCGGGATAATGGCAGCTGAATACCCTGCCACCGTTGCTATAGTGACCAGCCAAGCATTGGTCCCCCCCCTCCTCCCCCCTCTCTCTCTCTTCTTTCTTGTTTTCTGGACTTCCTTGTTACAGGGCTTGGCTAGTGTGGGGGGGGGGAAATGAGCTTGAGAAACAGGAAAGTGGGGGGGGGACAGAGTGGGGGTGGGGTGGGGGATGGAGGGCCAGTCCATTATCCTGCTCTTTAAATACCCCAGCTGGAGGTATTTTCAATCTCCACCGAGACAGAGAGAAACAGTGTCTTAATCCCCAGACCCCTGTGAATTATTTAAAGGGATCTTGTCAGAAGGATGAATTTGTCACTTGTCACTGTTACAGTGTCAACAACAACGGGACAGCGGCGGTGGTGGCCGCAGCATCCGTCGCCAGGGCCCGAGGACCCCCAGCTCCAGGCAGGGCCTGGTACGCAAGGCTGCTGCCCGGAAGAGGCTACGGGAGGCCTGGGAGCCCCCTTCCCAGCCTGCGGGGTTGCGTCCCCTGGTATGATGAGCCCGGAGGGCGTTGAACGTGTCAGGCCCCTGAGCCTCACCTCCCCCCCCCCCCCGCGTAGCCGTGGCTCCTGTGGTTATGGGAGCTCTGAGCCCCGATTGTCCAGGTTGAGGGGAAGAAGCCAAGGCCCATCCAGTTCCCCAATAACCGAGCTGTGCTCCGGGGAAGGCCGAGCACGCGTGGAGATTGCCACGATGCCATTCCCTGTCGTACATCCTGGCTCTGCATCAGACAACCTCCACGGGAGGCCTTCCGAGGGGCCGGGCCTCCGGAAGAGTCAGATGTACGGCCGGTTAGCATTAGCGCCCGGGCGCCACGGTAGTGTGGGAGGGGGTGCCATTGGTGCCTGCCCAGCTGGGCACACCTGGGGAGGTAAATTAAGCAGCTTGGGGGTGGTGAGGGGGAGCTGCTAACTCAGGTCCTCAGGGGAACCGTTGAGTCGGAAGCTGCCTTGGTTGGTTGGTACACT